GATTTGTGTCACGCTGTCGTGATTTTCATCGAGCCCCTTCTCCATGGCAAATGACGCGGAAAGAGGGCAGAAATTAAAGCCGCTCGTTAGGGTGAAACGTTTCGACCGATCGCCGGGGCGCCTCCTCGGAGTCACTGAGCCGCGAACGGACGGCGAGCGTGATTCGATATTCGAGACACAAAGAAGAAAGTGGATCGCGTCTGTCGTTCCGTGATTTCTGCCTGGCCATATTAAATTGAGCGAACGTGGAGTAGAAAGAACGATGGGAACCCCGGGGAGTCCTGGAGCCCGCGGGACAATTTCTTTCTACCGTTTTCCCGTTCCAACAATTTCGAGGCAATTAATCGAAAGAGTCAAAGAAATCTGAAAGATTTTTCTTTCCCCCTCGACGACGTAATTGGTGTATCGTTTTCGAGACGAGCATTTTTCTGTAACACTGTTGGAACTGTAGTGGGCAATTCCTGGAAACTTGGATGATTTCTGATAGCAACATGCTACCTTGGTACTCGAAACTCCCGTGATACTTGGTAAATTCTCTGTGACGTTACCGGGGGTATCCTGATTCCACTCGGGTAACTATGTGGCTCGAATGCTTGGGTTTCAAAGTATCGTGATCTGGCAGGAAAACTGGGAAGAGCTTGCAGTAATTGACAGAGGAATTTCTGGTGTTTTAAAATAGGAATGACAACGATTATAAATGTTCGAAGAAGTAGTTGATAATGATCTATAATAGTTAATGTATTTTATTGAAATTTATTTGTAAACTAGAGCTAATGGATACCTACAAGAAAGTATTAAACAACTTTTGTTAGGGCATCACAGAAATTTATTAAAAATCGACAGAGAGATGGACACATTTTTCGACGAAATTGAAAAGTTTCAAATCGTTCTGGAAAAATTATTTTTAGGTGAAGGGGTCTATTAGAATCATTTTTGGTGAAGAGACATACCATCGAAATTCTACGCACTTTCGAGAAAAAAATTCCTTAGCGAAACCATATTGCCTGACCCGTAATGTTTTCTTGAAATTTTATTATACTGATCAATATAGTGGTTCCCCTTTTTCAAATCGTTCTAGAAAAATTATTTTTGGTTGCGGGGGTCATTTGCAATCATTTTTGGTCATTAGAGATACCACCTAAATCCTAACCATTTTCGAGAAAAAAATTCCTTACCGAAACCATATTGCCTGACCCTAAATTTCATGTGTATCTTTAAAATGTCATAACTTCTAAACAAATTGAAGGATTTTAATGTTTAAAAAAGCAAACTACGCGTATTTTGATGGAAAATATGTAGAAATTATAAAAATTTTCGAAAACTTGTTCCTTAACCCCGTAAAGTTAGGAAATCCCCATAAAAGAGTGGTCCAGTTTTCAAACGACCATAACTCCTACAATAATGAATATATTGCATTGAAATTTTAGGGGGAAGTAGAGCTCATAGATACCTACAAAAAAGTATTAAACAACTTTTCCGTAGCAGGCCAAATAAATTTATTAAAAATCAAAAACGAATTCTTAAGGAAAATCAATAGAGGGTGGGTCCTAAAATTTTTCGACGAAATTGAAAAATTTCAAATCGTTCTAAAAAAATTATTGTTAGGTAAAGGGGTCAACTGAAATCATTTTGTATTAATGGACATACCTTCGAAATCCTACGCAGTTCCGAGAAAAAAATTCCTAATTGTTGAACAAATTTTTCAGCGAAAAAAAAAATTTTCAAATTGTTATGAAAAAATTATTAATAGTTAGGGGGGTTAATTACAATGATTTTTGGTGAAGAAACATCCCCCTGAATTCCTACCCAGTTTCGAGAAAAAAATTCCTTACCGAAAATCTAATGTCTGAGCCAACATACACCTATTCCCCTTAAATTTTTCGCGAAAAAATTCAAATCGTTCTAAAAAAAATAGTTTCAGCTGAGAGGGTCAATTACAATCATCTTTGGTCAACAGATATACCCCCGAAATCCTACTCAGTTTCGAGAAAAAAATTCCTTACCGAAAATCTAATGTCTGACCAAACATACACCTATTCCCCTTAAATTTCTCGACAAAAAAAAATTCCAAATCGTTCCAAAAAAATTATTGTTACCTGCAGGGGTCTATTACAATCATTTTTGGTGAATAGACATACCATCGAAATCCTACGTACCTTCGAGAAAAAAATTCTTTACCAATACCATATTGCCTGACCCTAAATGTCACCCCGAAATTTCATGTTTAAAACGTCATCTTTTCTCGTTTCCAATGAAAAGACATCTTTCTTTCAAGATATTCAGCAAAATGGGAATGAGAAATGGATTTCATGGAAATACCTTGCATCCTCTGAAATGGGTTATCGTAATGTGTTTGCAGGGCCCCGTATAATTTTCCTACGTCTCGAAATTATGAACTCGAAAGTCCCTGTCGAGTAAAACGACACGCATCCCCCGTCCCCATCATCCTAGAGCCATCCATCTTGAAAGACGATAACCGCCTCTCCGTATTCTAACACCCCTTCAGCCTCTCTTCTTCTATCGCCTTATCAGGAGGTCTATCTCGAGCTAATATTATTTCAGCGGATCGTGTGTATAGCCTCATCCGATACTCGAATCCCCGAAGCTCGATAGGCTTCTAAAAGATTTCGCGGGGAAGTACTTTCACGGATCCACGATCACCTGCCTGTAGATGGTCGCCGCTCGGACGAGCCTGCAAGACGATCCATCCACGTCTCGTCCGGATTTTACGGCCACGAAATTTCCATGGGATCGATCAGCCCAGTCTTTTGTTGCCCTCTGCAAGATCCTCAGTGAACGTTGCTCCTCTCCAGATTTAGTTGCAAGATATTTGCCCAATACTCTCAGAATTTAGGATTACCAGGACGTGAACATTCACTACAGACTCTAAAATTTCCTCTCTTGGAAGACTCGAGAAGAACAGTATCGATGTCATCTAGAATTTTTGAAGAAGTCACTAACACCTCCAGCAAGGAGTCCTCTAGATTCTGAGGAGCCTTTGGAGCAACCAAAGAAACAGTGAGCTTGGAACCTGGGGATTACCAGGACGTGTACATTCACTACAGACTCTAAAACTTCTCCTCTGGAAGACTCAAGAAGAACAGTATCGATGTAATCTAGAATTTTTTAAGAAGTCACTAACACCCTTAGTGAGGAGTTCTCTAGATTCTGAAGATTCTTTAGAGCAACCAAAGAAATATTGAGCTTCAAGATGTCTGAGGAACCTGGAAACACTATATTTTAGCTACTCCCAGCTATCAATAGTCAGGAATCATCTCGATTTCTGAGAGACCTCTAGAACACCAAAAGAAGTAGCAAGTTCGAAGGTGTTTCATGAACCTACGTCTTCCCCAGGTTGGAGACTACTGAACAGAGCGAATGGCGCATGAAAAAAGGACTATTATCACCCTGGGGAAGCTTTTTCCCCCTCCCAAAGGGTGTCTTTCACGAGAAATCTGCCAGAAAATCAATCACCGATTAAGAGAGCAACCTGGAGGGTCAGCGTTCATCATAGCCAGCGTCTCCAGAGTACCTCCTGCTGCCTTTCATTTTTCTAGCCCCTGTGATAGAATCTTACGGAACGTTTTACGTGCTCGACGACCCGCAAGGAATTGTCTCACGATCGTCTGGCCAGATGTCGGGGATCACACACACACACACACACGAGAGAGGGGCTCACTCGGTTGACAAACCAATTTCACGTCCGGACTGCAAGGCGATCCGATGAGTTTCCGCGTAGCCGGCTGACACACCAGCCCCGAAGGGCTTTGCCTCCTCTATTTGCTCGAGGATTCGCGCGACTCGCATTAATTGCAAGGTAAACACACGGCACGCTTCGGGACAACTTGCTCCACGAAAGGAGCGACTGGGGGGGAGGGGGTGGACACGCCGTGAGACGTTTTAGGGGAAATTGTGAGACCACGGGGCTTCAGAGGTTCCTTGTTTAGCAAACTAAACAACGAGAATCTAATACCACGTTATAAACTCTCCAATAACAGCTAACTCTGAAACGCTAGATGGACCAAAAACCTCAATTTCTAATTTTCTCTTTTATTCTTCATATGAAGTCTTCAAATCAAATTTTGTTGAATATAAGGACGCAAACTAGCAATTTACATCGATATTACACTGCAAAAGATTCAATTTACAACGCTAAAGTAGCAACTCTCAATGTCAATAGTTGTCATCAACAGCCTCAAAAAATTCAAAAATAACTCAAAACTGAATTTTCAAAAAATTGCACAGGCGTCATCCCCAGGTGGTATTAGACCTAGAAACGTCAAAAATGGAACCGGAATTCGCCGGGAACACGCCCCCGGGAAGCTAGCTTCCGAGAGGTTTCGAGTCCTCATCCGTCAACAGCCGAATACCAGGGAGGAATTTTGACTCGTCATAAATATTCCTCGCGGGGAACGCGTACGCCCATCCCCCTCCCACCGCCTTTCACCGATATCCCTGTCCTTTCTTACGTGAACGCAGGAAAATCCGGGAACATGATCCTGCGGGACTCTTTGATCTGCCATTCTGTCTTTCCGACGGATGACGTGGTTACCGGGGCTCCCCGGTGCCCCCGGGGGTTATGAATTATCCTGCCCGTATTTTCCTCGCTGAAAGGTCGCCGGATTGAACGACGCAACGAGATAATGTGCATCCACCTACAGAGATGTTTGTTGTGTTGAATCGTATCTGGTTAGTTTGATAAATCGAGAGGAACAGCACAGAGGCGGCTTCTTTTCTCTTCGTGTCCTTTGGGATGCTTAATAAGTAGTACACCCGGTATACAACATGATAGAAAATTAATACATTCTCCTAGTGAGTTTATTTTTACAAGTTAACAGAAGAATAACAAACAATTTAAAATGTTAATAAAGTATATTTTAGGAAGATTGTGAGAGTAACAAACGATTTTCATTTTGATATAACATAGCAGAGAAACTGTCGATGGTTTAATCGTATCAATTTGTTTATATTAATTTTTCCTTATTTTATTTTTGTTGCAGAGGGGTAGCGACGAACTTCTGTCGCAGAGCGGAGCAGTTAGCAATGGTGCTGCAATGAGTCCACAACCACATCACGCCGACAACAACAATGACGCCAAGAAGGTAAGTCTAGGAGTACATTAAATCACGATTCGAGAGCATTTCAAACACCATCGAACTCCATTCTACTATTTATTAAAAAAGAGAGCGTGGAATCTTCAATTTTGAGTACTGTGCGTCCGCGAGAAGTTGTCAAGCGAAAGAAATGCGAGTCTGATTGGTTCCCCCACTTCAGAGTTCGTCCCGCCCACGCGACACGCCCATCGTCGCTGTTGGTTGAGTGGGGATGGGCGTGGCAGGCGAGGCCACTCCCCTTTCTGCTCTGCAACCGCCCACGCGACACGCCTATCGTCGCGGTTGGGCGGGGCGACGATGGGCGTGGCAGACGAGGCCACTCCCCTTTCTATTTTGCCCCGCCCACTAGTCAACTTCTCGCCCACACACGGTAGCTTTTTTAACGACACAGTGCCAAAGATTTGTAATACGATAATTTGACACGGTGGACAGTAGAAACTTTAATGAGTTACAGAAATTATGATTTACAGTAAGTGATTTTGCGCTGTTGTGTCCTGGCTGAAAGAAATTTTCAAACGCATAGAAACAAAATAAAATTGGGGGCAATAAAAATGAGTGTTATTTATTTTCTAATCCCAAGAATTAATTTGTTTTGCGAGTCGAAGCGTTAAAAGAGAGAGAGACTTTGGAAAACGCCGTTGAAAGACTAAACGAGTGACGGTGGGAAAAATCGTGGCGAGTAAAAAATGTGTACGCAGTCGTTAGTTTTTTGTTTACGAATCGAGCCACGTACCAGGTAGAAAGGGACGCGGGGAAAAATCAAAAACCTTTCCCGTGTCACGCGACTTACGAGATCCCATTCTATTTTCCATCCAGCTAGGGAGATGATTAACGAGGTTGGGCTACGTGGACGCAAGTTCTGATGCACCCGGCGCGCGTGCACCCGGTGACGGAGACGTGCATCATCCGCGGCTTACGAACGCACAGCTGCATCTATTGTGCGCGCCTAAACTTCCGAGCATTTTTTTTCACGCGAACGCCGACTGCACACGCGACCGACAATAATAAATATTTTTCCTCGAACGTTGCCAGATTTGTTTTCCATCCGGAATTTACGCGCTCGTTTCGACTTAAATGGCGACGATTTCGTCGCGTGCTTCGTCTCCATTTTGTTGGATCTGGGGAAAATTTTAATGGGAGATTTTGGAGACCAAAATATGACGAAAATGAAGAATGGTAATTTTTTAATTGAGGCTTCGTTTAAAAGTTATTGACGTTTGAAGTCAATGTGTGACCCGCGGACGCGTGACAGTCGTTCTCGCGACTTTAAACGTTAATAACTTTTTAACGAAGGCTCGAATGAAAAATTACTATTCTTCATTTTTATCTTATTTTGGTCTCTAGAATCAGCCATCAAATTTTTTTCGAAAGGTACCTGAACACTTTATATCTTTGTTACTTCATCTTTCACATAAAATTTCTACTTTTCTACTCAGAATTTGAATATTAAAAATAGATGGCTATTTTTGTTATTTAGTCTGAAAGAGTGATTTTGGAAACTGTTTGAGACTTCAGTTTTTGAATATAAGTGTCAGTGATTTTTTTTCAAAGAAGAAGGGGCGTTTCTGGTGGTAGGTTTTGATCAAGCAATCTGTAAAAAAGATCCCCGCAGAGCGAAAGAAGCCTGTCCAGAGTCCTGGCGCCCGGAGAACTCCAATGAAATCCTGGGAAACCCTGAGAAATAGGATTTAGTAAACTCGATGGGAAAGGGGAAATGGAATAAGTGAGAAGTTTCTGATCCCCCCCCCCCTGGAAGAAATGGCTCGAACGAACGAGATTATTTTCGGACTCGTTGAGAAATTTGGGTTTGTACCATCGATTCGAGTTGCATCTTGAAAGGACAATTTTCTTGGCTTCGTCGTTTCGATTATCAGTATGGACGATTTTATTAATCCTCGTAAAAGACGTCTGCTTTATGTAGCGATTTTTTAAACGTCAAATTTTTGTTGGACACTGTTGATTGCAACTGGTGGTCACCGGTGACCGACACTTGGAGCTTACAAATGTGATGGAATATTGTGAAAATACTAAACTAAACTAATAATTCGTTTGGTTTATATTTTTATTTTTTAAACATTACATTATTGTAATTTTTTTTTATTTTCTTTGAAAATCTTGGAAATTAAAAAATTTCAAATCGTTCTGAAAAAATTATTTTCGACTGCTGGGGTAGGTTACAATCATTTTTGGTGATTAGATATATCCCCGAAATCCTACGCATTTTCGAGAAAAAAATTCTTTACTGAAAATATAATGGCTGACCATATATGTTTGATTTCCCTGAATTTTTTCGGAAAAAAGTTTCAAATTGTTCTGAAAAAATTATTTTCGATTGAAGGGGTAAATTATAATCATTTTTGGTGGATACACATACCCTCGAAATCCTAATCATTTTCGAGAAATAAATTCCTTACCGAAAATATAATTTTAAGGCAGAAATATCACTCCTAAATTTCGTGCGTATCTTTAAATCGCCATAACTTCTAAACGGATTGAGGGATTTTAATGTTTAAAAAAGCAAACTACGCGTATTTCGATGGAGAATATATAGAAATTATAAAAGTTTTCGAAAGATAGGTCCTTAACATCGTAAATTGACAAAAACCCCATAAAAATTGCCTAATTTTCAAACAGCCATTACTCTTACAATAGTGAATATATTTCAATGAAATTTTTTTCTAAAATAGAGCTCATAGGCACCTACAAAAAAGTATTAAACAATTTTTCTGTAGGACATCAAACGCAATTACTAAAAATCAAAAACTAAGCTTTAAGAAAAATTGACGGGATAATTCATCGGCGAAAAAAAAAATTTCAAATCGTTCTAAAAAAATTATTGTTAGGTGAAGGGGTCAATTGCAATCATTTTTTATTAATGGACATACCCTCGAAATCCTACTCAGTTTCGAGAAAAAAATTCAAGTATTTGAACAAATTTTTTGGCGGAAAAAAAATTCGCAAATCGTTTTAAAAAAATTATTTTTAGTTAGGGGTATTAATTACAATCATTTTGGGTGAGCAGACATACCCCCGAAATCCTACTCAGTTTCCTGAAAAAAATTCAAATAGGTGTAGAAATTTTTCAAAATTTTCAAATCCTTCTAAAAAAATTACGTTCAGTCGCAGAGGTTAATCAGAATCATTTTTGGTCAGCAGACATACCCTCGAAATCCTACTCATTTTCGAGAAAAAAATTCCTAACCGAATACAATGTCTGACCACCAAAGTCCTATTCCCCTGAATTTCCATTTGTACCTTTAAATCGTCATAACTCCCGAACGGATCGAGCGATTTTAAATTTAAAAAATGCAAACAACGCGTATTTCAATGTGCAACATTTCATGTGAACACACTCACCCCCGAAATCCTACTCACTTCCAAGAAAAAAAAACTTTTATAACAACTTTCCCTTAAATTGCCCTGTTTCACGTGGTGATTTTTCACACTAAATTTCGATATTTCCGTTTTCCCTGTCCCTTATATACGATGTCCTAGGAATTTATAGAAGCCCCGTCGGACTCTCTGGTAATCGCCAAAGCCACAAGAACACGTCGAGCAAAGGGAACCCCAGGAAAAGAGACACGGTAAACCGATGGGACATGCTTCCCAGCCACCTTTTCCAACGAAAGTTTAAGAGAGGCTAGTGGAGGGGGTAACAGGACGTCCCGTGGATGTTCCCATAAAGGAACGTTTCAGTTCGTAGAAGCGTCCATTCGTCGCGTCTTCCAGCTTGAATGAAGTTTCCAAGGGGGTGGGCGAGAACCGCCAGCGCCGTCGTATTTCCGTCGGTTGCGCCTCGGGGTCTTTCCTCTCGATATCAGCCGGTCCGGATTCGCTGGAAGGTTTGTTCTCCTCCTTGGTAAATCTCCGAGGACTAACCATCCTCTTCCGGTTGGAATATCCGAGGCGTTGTCGGTCCCCTGGCTGCCTTTCGGTCCTCCAAATGATATCAGAACGAGGGAGTGATTGATACGGGGGAACGTCTACGCGCAAATGGGTTCTATTTCTGCCTTGGTAATCGACTTTGGTCGTACAGATCTTGCAATCATTGGCAGAGTGTCATTTTGTTGGGTGTACAAAATGAATTAATTCGAATTATCGTTGAGCAGTTGTAAAATCAAGTTTAAAATCGATATATTAAAATCAAATTTTCCCGCCATTTTGTGGTCATATACAGGGGTGTTCGACAACCCCTGGGAAAAATTTTAATGGGAGATCCTAGAGACCAAAATAAGACGAAAATCAAGAATATTAATTTGTTGATTAAGGCTTCGTTAAAAAGTTATTAATGTTTAACGTTCCGCCACTACTGAATTTTTTTCTACGAAATGGGTAGGATTTCAGGGGTAGGTCTATTCACCAAAAATTATTGCAATTAACCTTCCTAACTATAAATAATTTTTTCAGAACGATTTGGAAATTTTTTAATTTTGTCGAAATATTTCACACCTTCTCGAATTTTTTTCGAGAAAGTGGGTAGGATTTCGGGGATATGTCTATTCACCAAAAATTATTGCAATTAACCTTCCTAACTATAAATAATTTTTTCAGAACGATTTGAAAATTTTTTAATTTTGTCGAAATATTTCACACCTTCTCGAATTTTTTCCTCGAAAATGGTTAGGATTTCAAGTGTATGTCTATTCACCAAAAGTGATTACAATTAACCCCCACAACCGAAAATAATTTTTTTAGAACGATTTGAAATCCTTTTTTCGCTGAAAAATTTAAGGGGAATAGATGAATGTTTGGTCAGACATTAGATTTTCGGTGAGGAATTTTTTTCTCGAAACTGGGTAGGATTTCGGGTTTATGGGTAATGACCAAAAATGATTATTATTGACCCTTGAAACTGAAAATAATTTTTTTAGAACGATTTGAAATCCTTTTTCGCTGAAAAATTTAAGGGGAATAGATGAATGTTTGGTCAGACATCATATTTTCGGTGAGGAATTTTTTTCTCGAAACTGGGTAGGATTTCGGGGTTA